CGGGCCGTCTGTTTATTACGTGTGTTTCTGAGTCAGAGCGTTGGTTGTACGTACCTGCACCTATGGTGATATCTCCCTTGAGTTCGACATCCTGGCAGACGACGGCCTTTGAGTGAATGGTGAACTTGTCTCGTCTGCGCTGCTTTCGTGAGCACAAGAGTGGTGTAGACGTGCAAAGAGGATGTACATGGGTGGCATGGCTCGCTGTGGCTGGTGGCGGATGCGGACAGAGCGGCGGCAGCGTCGGAGGAAGAAGAGCTCGGCTAGACGATCAGAGTCTGACGGACGAAGTCACACACATCGCACGACGTCTACGGGTCTTGTTGTGCTTGCGAGCGACGACGACGTAAAGAAGGAAGACAAGAGAGACGGCAAGGAGAGCGACGACGGTGGGCAGAAACAAAAGGGCAGCGGACGAGAGCCTCGTGGGTTGTGAGTGGGAAATCACACTCCGCGTTGCCTGACGTTGCGCCCGTCGGCGTCGTCTTTCCTTTCCTCCTCCCCGTTCTCCTCTCCGTCCTCGTCCTCCCTCTCGTCTTCGAGACTCTCGCTTGCCGAGCTTCTTCTTCTCCCGATACCCCTCCCCGCCCAGGGCTCACCGCCCTCGCCTACATATCTTTTTCCTCTTCTCCGTCTGGTTCCTACTCTACTGCTACTGCTTTCTCTATCTCTCTATCTCCTCTCTGCTCAGCTATGGCCCCGACGACATCCACTACTCCCCCCGGCCTCCAGGAGGCAACACGGAACTCGACCGTCCATTGGCAGGACGACCTTCAGTCTCTCTTCGATCACGCAAAGGAACGCTTCGCGGACGTTGTCTGGGAGCTGCAGAGCGACTCTGGTTCTGGAGTAGAGGAGGTCTGGGGCCATAAAGGTCTGTCGTCCCTCCCTTCGTCTCGGACGACGCGTGCCTCGCTGTCGCTGGCAGCGTGGACGGCGCGCGACACGTCCTCGACCGGCGAACGCATGGGCGCGTTTGCTTCCGTTGTGATCGATCTGCGTGATTGTATGCAATGTTTATGCTGACCATGTCATGTTTCGTCTGTCGCAGCTGTTGTGTACGCTCGTGCACCACCCTCGTTCCAAGCCCGTTATTTCTCCTTCAAACCACCACCGCCAACTTCGCCGGTCCCGTATTCGTCTTCCCCGACGGGCACTCTCCCTGCCCAGTCTGCACTCTCCTTAACTCTTGGTGTCGACTTCACCTCACCCTCCCGCTCACCTTCGCCCGCTCCCTACCGATCGACATCCCCTACACCGTCTACCAATAATGGCGCGCTTCTGCGGCTCCCTACCAACATCAACCCGACCCTCTTCTCCAACGAGCTCGAGTATCTCTATACCGGAAAGGGCATCGGGGAGGCCTTTGAGTTCCTCTTTGATTCCGCAGAAAGCATAGAGGAAGGCAACGGCGAGGAGGCTAGGGTAGACAAGCTTCGGAAAGATCTAGTCTTCATGTGGCGTTCCAGGCTATACTCTGATGTTCGCATCGCGCTCACTGGTAACTTCTCCTCCTCAAATCACGAAAGCACTACCGCCGTCTTCTCCTCCCACCGCTTCATTCTCGCCTCCCGGGTCCCATACTTCAATACCCAGCTGCTCCAATGGGGCGTCAAGTCCACTCCTGGAGAGCCTTTGACGCTCACCTTGCCCTCACCTCCGTTCACACCTGCTTCCCTCCATTTCACGCTCGGCTTCATCTACACTGGAACCCTCGTCTTCTCACATCGCACCTATGATCTCGACACTGCTTTCCACATCATGCGCTCCGCCATGTACCTTTCCCTTGACAGCCTCTATGACGAGATCCAGGCACGCATCGTTCAAGAGATGATGCACGGGCTATTCCACGCTTTCCTCGAATTCTCAGAGTACGAGGCCATCACAGGCGGCAAATGGGGTACCGGTGGGTGCCGTTGCCGTCAGTGTGCTCGGCGCGCACCGCGTGTCCTGCAGTTCGCAGTGAGCGACGATGTGAAGAATGCTCATCTAGAACGTGGCGCGCGCCGTGCTCTCGTTGGTCTCTTTGGCGAAGGTTGGTGCACTTCCGAGTTCGCGGCGCTCCCACAGAAGACGCGAGACGCGCTCCTCAAGGGTCTAAGCAAACGCACGACGCCGATGAACGTTCTGGCACTGCTCCAGGCTGCACAGACCGCACTCAAGAAGCTGGACAATACGCTTGACGCGTGGGGCGAGACCGTTCGCGAGATGGTCCTCGCGGCGCGCAAGACTATCGATGACGTAGCGTGCTCGCAGGCAGCAGAGTGCTTCGAGCAGCCGGAATGGTTGGAGATCATGGAGGCTGACGGAGTCCGGTTTGAGGATGGCGAGAAGGTCGAGCTGTTCCTGGATTCTCTGCGCAGAGGTCTCAACGAGAAGAACGCCGCTATGGCGTATCAGGTACGGGTCACTGTGTCTGGAAAGTCTTTCTTATTCACCATTGTGGGTAGGTCCTCGTTGACTCGGTACTTCTGCGCCCACATCCGACCGATCCCGAGGCGGCGATGCTCTCGTCGACTTCGCATGTCCGCGTGCAGGTTGAGCAGGCGCGCACGGACATCATTCGCTATATCCGACGACGCTGGCTCACTATCAAGCAAGACGACGGGTTCGCGGGCCTGGCTCCATGGGCGGCGCAAGAAATTGCGTCAGGTAAGCCTACTGCACCAACTATCGGTACGCTCACTAATCCCTCTTTTACAGAATTAGAGCTCAAGGACGAGTCTGAGCTTTACATGCGGGCAACACCCACGTCGACATCGCGCGGCGGTCGTCTCACTGTCAGAAACGGCCCTGTGTCAAAAGCGGAAGAATCGGATACCGTCAGTGTACATTCAACGCTCAGTGCTGCTCCTAGCCGGCGTCCCGAAGACAAGCCTAAGTCTTCTGCGGCATCCGTTCGCTCCGTTGCGCGCAGCACACACTCAACTGCGACGCGGGTTACGACGACAACGATCTCCCGTCGCGTTCCCCTGTCTCCCGGGAGTCTGCGTCCAGACTCCAAGCTTACCCCTGCCCATTCCACTCCCTCGCCTTCTGTACGCGGATCTGTCGTCGATGGAGAACGTGCGAAATCGCCTTTATCACCGAACGCTAGTTCTGTGCAGAGGAGTAGTATGTCTACCGCCAGTGTGCGCCAGTCCACCACGCCCTCACTGCATTCAAATACCGAGAAGTTCCCAAGACCAAAGTCCGTGGCGGCCTCTGTCAAGTCGACACGCTCGACTACTTCGACTATTCGCAAAACTGCTGCGGGGCCCTCTACCCTTCGACCACCCCCCTCGCCCTCTCGACCTGCATCAACACTCTCCACCTCGTCTACCAGTGAAAACTCCACTGCGTTCGAGACTGCACGTTCTGAGCTCACACCAAGTAGCGTCGGCCGGACGCGTCGCGGATCGGCAGCGTCATCTGTGTCGACGGTCAGCGTGCGAACAACAGGCACGTCGACGCCACGCACACCAAAGAGACCGCCATCAGCCGCATCCAAAACGACATCCTCCGTTAGTCGAAGACCGCCCTCTTCCCCCGCAGACTTGGCGAAAACTACCCCCATGGCGAAGCGGACAGTGTCTACTACCTCTGTGCGCTCAACCATATCGACGAAGTCGACGGCGACGAGGAAGTCGGTCGTGCGGACGCCTTCTGGCACCCCGCCCTCAAAACCGTCGACACCGGCGAAAGTGGGCGCCAAGCCTCTCCCTGCAGCCGAACAAGGGGAGAATGGCGCTGGCGGGACGATCAAAGCGAAGCCAAAGTCGCCTCCATCGAAGACAGCATCTGTCGTGTCGCACGAGAAGCAGTCGAGCGTCGTCTCCTCCGCGAGCACGTCCACGCTCAAACGTAAGAACTCGTCGGACACGATTCGCGAATCCTCGGGCTCGGAGCCGCAGCAGAAGGTGCCTCGTGGCGCAACGCTCGAAATCGGGATCCCCTGCATTATCTCGTCCAAGAAGGCGCGTTTCCGTGCGTACGCGCGGTACATTGGCGAAGTCGAGGGCGAAGTCGGGCCGTGGGTCGGCGTCGAGGTGCCACTGAACGACGCTTGGCCGGGTGACAAGCTCGACGATGGACGCGCATGGCACGATGGCACGTGGGGCGGCATCCGTTACTTTGATATTGGGGCCGCCTCGGAGTGGGAGTTTGGCCAGGACACGACGGCGCGCCGCCGGAGAAACGAGTGGCTGAGCACACTCGGACGAGACCCGAAAGGCAGCCTGAAGCGCGAGGGCGACCAGCTCAGCATCGAGCGCGCGAAGAGGCTACGCAGCGTCTCACCGGCCGTGTCGGACATGTCGACGTCAGAGTCAAGAGGGCTGTTCGTACGCCCGCAGCAGGTGCTGTACGTGGTCGACGCCGTTGGGGCAGACCTGTGAATGCACGAAGCATGGGGGCGGCAGGCGTGGGGAAGTCAAGCTCTGTATATATCTCGCGACCTCTCTCACCTTCCGCTATGTGCATGTCGAACACTCGCTTGTCGATCGGATACCACGGAAATTTTACCCTACGAGCCCTTTTGTTGCGGGTGCACACTCACTATGCCTATGGTCGCGAGTCCTCGCGGTTCTGTTATTATTTTCCACGGCGCTGCTGCGTCTGTGTCTGGCCGGTACATTCGATACACTCCTTTAGTGAATAATCATGTATGCCATATTCCTGTATTCAGTGGATATCCATCTGGCTGCTTATTCGAGCCCTTCCCATGGGTCTGATTATGGAGGAAGAGGCACGTGTAGGTCGCAACTACTCGCAAGTTGGCACAACTGTGGCGGTGGCAGTGCACATCTGACACTTTTGTACTTCGTTACGGTACGTCGGCGCGCGGCAGGCCTGACCTGCCCATGCGATATGCTAGATGGGCTCAAATGGGCTAGAATGACTGTGTCTGCACCCTCAATGCTCAGTAGCGATATCAGAGATGTTTTTAAAGGCCTCAATCGTTAGATTAATGCAGGGCAGAGGTAGCTGTATATATTCTTCCTGATTTAATCCCTTACACCGGCCACCTGGCGAAATGGCATCGCGTCTGACTACGAACAAGTCCCCGAGGGCTGGTATTGATCAGGAGATTGCAGGTTCGACCCCTACGGTGGTCATTTTGGCGTTACTGAGCCATGGCGGATGTCTAGGCATTTTTTCTGGGGCGGAAACAATATATTTCCGGCCCTGGGCCGCTCTGCAGATTAGGCGCCGTCGGACCTTCGGTTTTGGCACGCCACGGCGTCCAATCCCGCCAAGGCTTTCCATGGTGATAGAGTGGAAGCAGGTGGAAGCATAGCGACCTCGGCGAGTTATTTCAAGATATGTTTGAATGCTCAGTCTTGGCCAAATCGCCGTGGACAGTTGGTCAGCCCTGGAGCGACTCAAGCGCCCGACTCTGGTCACAACTTAGCATGTCACACGAGAAGGAGTAGCGAACACAAGCACCAAACAAAGCAGACACCATGCTCAATTCACTACTAGAGCGACATAGAAGTAGAAGTAATACCAAGAGAAAAAGGACAGTAAACGCGACCACTTGAACCGCTCGCCCCTATGCCGCCTCGACGATCTTCTTGCTGGTAGCGCCCTTGAGCCTCAGCTTGCGACGCGAAGAGACAGGCAAGCCAGTCTTCTTGTCGAAGCGAGACTTCTTGATATCGTTGCGGCCTTGGTGGCCGATGCCCTCATCGTACTCTGTCCCCGGCACGACACGCTCAGGGTGCCGGCTGTTCTTGAACGCCTCCTCCGCAGTAATACGCTCAAAGCGGAGGAGCCGCCGCCGCCATCGGCTGTACAGCGTGTCTAGCGCAGGCTTCTTTTGCATGGCTGGATTGGAAAAGCGGACATTGGATGGCCAGCCGACGAGGCGGACGCAGCGGCGCATGTAGAGGTACTGGTACCCGTGCATATCCCACCACATCTTGGCTGTCTGATCCTTTGTAAGGCGAACTGGAAAAGAGAGTAGTTGACGCAGCCATTCGTAGAGACCACCAGGCAAGAACGTACCGAGCGATGCTTTCATGATCTTTCGCAGCTTCGCACCGAGCTGCCTCGCGGTCCCCCCAGCCTTTTTGGATGCCTTCCCCTGCTTGTAACGCCCCATAGGAGAGGTTGTAGATAGCGAGGGGCGCTGCAAAAATGTGAGCCTAACCTGAAGCAAGGAAGGGGAGCATAGCTACAGACCTCGGGCGGAGTGAGGGAGCGAAGGGACGGGTAGTTACTGTGTATCACGGGCAGCATAGTCGGCGTACCCCATGGGATACATTATATATCACGGGCACGCAGGCTCCGCGGATGTTCTGGAGGTGCACCAACGTGCTAGTACACTTGTCCGCTTCTATCCGACTTGTGAAGGGCGACCCTGCTGAGAGAGGAGCGGTCAGGGTTAGAGTCCTACGCGAGAGAACGCCGAACTCCTAGACGGGAGGAGGGCTGTACCTGTCGATGATGTTGCCATAAGAGGATGCTCGCTCGTCCATCGACACGACGGGGCGCGCGGAAACCAAACAGGGTCAACGCGAGGCGGGCTTGATGGTGACCGCCTTCGAGGGCAGTAGTGCCTCGTTGCACGTCCAAACTGAAGGTCGGTAGGGTTCTATGACCATGTTTGAGACGAGGCAGTTTAGGTCTTCACCTAGTTAGGTCCCCGAGGCATGAGCGCTGGTCAAAATTTGACCCCGAATAAGAAGAGGCAAGAGGCCGCCGCGCTTCGCAAGCTCTCCCGATGTTAGGACAGGCCCGCGCACGTCGAGCCTACCCAGGTAGGAATTTCTGCGAACATTTTAGGGCCGGAGAACATGTTTGCGCAGCGAGGTCACCGCTAGAATTTGCGTCCATTACGTGTGGAATAGAGTTGTGCATCCTGACGGTGCTTATGTTGCGTTGACTCATTCACGCGAGCCGACGTCGCTTCCGACGTGCAGCGACCATCTTCAGACCTTTGGGCTTCAGCGTCGAATAACCAGAGTGGCAGACAGTGAGGACAGTATAAGCGCCCACTGCGGAAGCTGCGGCCCGGGCTGATTCCGAGAAACTCGGAGCGTCTGCTCCTGCCAGATGCTCACGACCCAGACCTCCCCATCACACTTTTGTCGCCGATTTGAGGCTGGATTGTAACCGGTTGTAATGTGGTTCCAAGGAGTTACAATCGATGCAATGATTTTATGTTCCTGATTCAATAGTAATGTGACTAAACGGGCGTTGAGCTCCTTGCGAGCGTCTTGCAGGGGCCTTTGAAGGTATGTAAACCTGATCTAGGACCTGACGAAGAAAATAATTAGACTCATAGGATCGAGTACAATCCTTCTACACATTTAGAGACGACTACAACTCTCGGGCAAACGCTGGACATTTGGAACAGATCAAGAAAATATCGCAGTTAAACTGAGCAATATATTTCTGATGACGGAAATACATAAGACATGGGTACTACAGCATGGCATATATATGTATGTACAAGAGGGACATGGGCGTAAGGCCCAAATGTCAATGGTATAATGGCCGGGTATCGGTCGTGTGATGTGGCGCACTAGCTGAACGCGAGGGTAGACAGGTAGTCAGCATGTAGCATCGAGACACCAGGATCGAAGGTGACACATCCCGAGGCCAGTGCACCAGCTAGAGAGTTTGCCTAGGCCCCGGGACTCCGCAGATCAGCCCAAGACCAAGAGATGACCGTAGACGTAGCACCCAGACAGTAGTGAGACTGGCAGATATCCGCAGACAAGACCAAAAGACCCAGCAAAGACGTCGCAGCAAGAAAGGGACCGGAGCCAGAAGTGCCGGAGAATAACTATCTTGATACGGGCCCACGGCTGAGACGATACTAGGTTAGTACACCTCGAAGAGGCGGCACCTAGTAAGTAATGTGGTATGAGTGAAGGGGACTTGGTGATGAGTCCACGTCGCGACATCGCCCACAAATTGTACATTGAAACCCCGACGTGGGCCTGTATAGTACTGTATAGTACCTGTCTAATGAGACAGGCTATCGGCGCAATTAAGTGCGCGTCTTTGTATTGGATTGCAAGTCGTCGTAATGATTGTGAGGGCTTGGAAGCCCTTTGAAAGCTGTTGCGAGGTGTTTATAATCCGGTTGCAAGCAGGTTTCAAGACGCGTCATAGTTAAGTCGGTTTCATCGGTTTGTATTGAGGCAAAATATGATAATCAATTAGAACGCTATAGTAACAGATTACAAGGACACAAATTCTTGCGCGGGCCACAATTTGGACGCCTTTTTCGTGATGCCTGCGTTCACGACCTCGGTAATGACAATCTGCTAAATTACTGCACCATCACTTCGCTTCGCCATCAACCATACGTCCAAGGGGGCTACATCTAAACTCAAATATGATGGACGAATGGTCGAGCGGGAACATCCTCCTCAATGACCCCATGCGCATCTATCGCGCCAAGCGCGACGCAGCACGCAGGCGTGTCACAGACAAGTATGCTATCCTTGGATTCATATCCTCAGGGACATACGGGAGGGTGTACAAGGCTCAGAGCAAGGAAAGCGACGGCCGGATACACGCTATCAAGAAGTTCAAGCCGGACAAAGAGGGCGATGTGGTTACATACACCGGCATCAGTCAAAGTGCCATCCGAGAGATAGCGGTGAGTGTGCCATAGACTTTGTTCTCTGCTACATACTCAGTTAGGTGTATAACAGCTAAACAGGGAGATATCGCATGAGAATATAGTAGCGCTGAAGGAAGTCATCCTGGAAGACAAGTCCATCTACATGGTGTTTGAATACGCGGAACACGATTTTCTAGTAGGTCACAGACCTTATCGACTCAACGTGCTACATTGACCGACGTGTAGCAAGTCATCCACCACCATTCTCAAACGCTTCGCTCGTCGATCACCCAAGCAGTCCTCAAATCACTGACATACCAGCTCATCAATGGGCTCCTCTACCTGCACGAAGCACACATCATCCACCGCGACCTCAAACCCGCAAACATCCTCATTACCTCTTCGGGCGTCGTCAAAATCGGCGATCTAGGGCTGGCGCGACTCACACACCAACCACTCCAACCTCTACACGCGGGAGACAAAGTCGTGGTTACGATATGGTACCGTGCGCCGGAACTGCTACTGGGTGCGAAGCATTACAATAAGTCCGTTGATATATGGGCCGTTGGCTGCGTTATGGCCGAGCTCGCGAGCTTGAGGCCGATATTCAAGGGCGAGGAGGCGAAGCTCGACTCCAAGAAGAACGTTCCTTTCCAGAAGGACCAGCTTCTCAAGATTTTTGAGGTCCTGGGTACGCCATCAGGTACGTAGCCCCGGTGCTGTGTGCACTACAGCAGGAGACTGATGTCCTTGCCTGGTAGAACGCGACTGGCCAAAGATCAAAGAGCTCCCAGAATATCAGAGCATGAAACGTCTGGACCAGTACGTGCAATTACCTGCTGGTTGAGTATACTCCAACGGCACCATCGTGTAGCTATACGAACCGTCTCGCGGAGTGGTGCCAGTCCCGTGTCCGCTCAAACGGCGCAGACCTCCTCGCGCGTCTGTTCGCGTACGATCCCGACAAACGACTCACTGCTGCCGAGGCTTTGCGACACAAGTGGTTCCAAGAGGATCCTCTGCCCACGCGCAAGTGAGTCTCCACCGACGTTCTCCCGATCATGAACAGCTTCTTACCTCGAGCTTGCAACAGCGCGTTCGAATCCCTCCAGCCTCACCAGGTGCCTCCACATCGCAGGATCACACAGGACGACGCGCCGTCGATGATGCCGATGGCGGCCGTGGGCTCGCAAGTTCAGGCGCAGGTATCGCAGGTGCAGGCGACGGCGCAGGCGCATTTGTCCCAGCAGCTCTCGCATTCGCACTCGAACCACTCGAAGGCGGGTAGTGCGGCGAGCTTTGCGAGCCTCAGTGGAGGCGCTGGCGCTGGGACACATACGCGCAAGAAGGCGAGGCTAGGATGATCAAGCAAGAGTGTTTGTATTTTCCCTGGGTCAGCGATTCCTCTGTATGATACATGTGTATTCTATATCCCCATCGCCACATGGCTATGTTTGATACCTCGTTAGCATGCAATTGCGTCACGTCTCAGTGCGCTCGTCTGCAATCAGCCACAGTACACATCTAATGGGC